TCATCAATTTTCTATTAGCTTTATCTTTTAGTTCATGAGACCGTCATTCTTACTCTTTCATTGTTCCCTTGCAGTGTACAGAAGAGGCTCATCGGCCCGTGGACTGTGATACCGTGTCCAAATGGATTTTGAAAAACAGTGCCGAGTCAGAAAATATGAATTGGTAAGTATTTATCTTATGCTCAGTGTGCGCTCTTATTTCGTCTATTGATATCTCTGTTAGTATTTGATGAATGGGAATTTTTTGTTCTTGAGAAAAAAAAAACAGAGAGCTTCTGTTTCTTTTTGGTGTTTGTTTGGGTAATATATTTGTGCAGTTTAAAGCTGTTGTATTTGATGGTTTGCCTTCTGTTGTTCCTCTCCAGAATGATTAATCTTTTCTGTTTTAGATCAGTACCAAGAGTACTCGCTCCTTTTAATTGTATGTAATAGTGCTTTTGTGGTCACAAAATTTGAGAAAGAAAGGAAGACCATTGGCACATCAAAATATATAGTATAACATACCAAAACTACCTTTAGAAACTTGTGGTTTTCAACATGTCATGTTAAGGGTAAACTAAGAATTTTAAAATTAAAGAGTATTCAAATATAGCAAGGTGTTAATCTTTGTGAAATAGACTAAAACGGAAAGGGTTTCATATAAAGTGGAATAGAGGAGCATAATACCACTTATAGGGGGGAGGGATACTTAGCTGGTGACTAGGTAAACATGTGACACAAGGGTTGGTGAATGATCAATATTTTATTACTCCCTCTATCCCAATTTATGTGACGGTATTTGATTGGAGTTTAAGAAAGAAAGGAAGACTTTCGAAACTTGTGGTCTAAAATGAGCCGTAGATATTTGTCTGCCTATAAAATGATAAAATGGGCAACTTATCAAAAAATATTTTTACTAATTACTAAATACAGAAAGGTGTCCTTTTTGGGACTGACTAAAAGGAAAGATGTCACATAAATTGGGATGAAGAGAGTAGTATATATAAACGAGTACAAGAAGTTTTCATCGTCCTCACAGGGACAGTTATGACCTTTGCCAATAGCATCAAAAGGTGGTGTGTGACGACACCTAGCAACTATTTGAATGTTTTCTCAAATGTTTAGATAGGGGCACCACGTCATTGCTTTTCTCCTTATTTTTCTCTCTTTTTCTCCAATCTTGAAACTTCCATAGCTTCACTTCCCAGTGGCTGTTCCTTCTGGAAAATTGCAGCAATGCGCTAATCAAGCCTTTTTGCTCCACAACCCCTGATCAAGCTTTGAATATGGTTGTAAAATGATAAACATAACATATGCTTATGTAAGAATGGATACCGTTCTATATAGAAAATAATAAATATATAAGAAAAAATACTTTTTCCTTCCTGAGCCTAGGGTCTACCGGAAACAACCTCTCTGCCTAAAAAGCCAGGGTAAGGTCTGCGTACACTCTACCTTCCCCTCCCAGACCCCGCTTATGGGACTACACTGGGTTTTTTGTTGTTATTTCTCTACAACAACAACAAACAACTATAGCTCAGTCCCAAACAAGTTGGGGCGGCAATATGAATCCTCATTCCTTACATTTAGCTCACCATTCTTATTTCATTAAAACCATAAATATGTTTCTATTGAGTTTACATATATAATATTTACTCTTATATATGCAATTTCTCTTAGAGCATATACTTTTAAATAAGAACAAAAATAATTAGAAATTCTATATACGACCTCCATTTTATTTTATGTGGCAGGAATTGGAATACAAGGGTCAAATAATTTAACTTTGTTTTGAAATAAAACTTACATATTTAGAACTACATAAAAAGTACTATAGGTCACGATAGTCGATAATAAAAAATACTTGTATATGAAAAATTGGTCAAATAAATATCTCTTTAACTCTTTAAATAGTAATAGTGCCACATAAGGCAGAATAAAGGGGGTAACAAAGATTTTCAGTTATTAAAGTAAATTCAATCATAGAGTTACATATGACACTGATATTCTCTACACACAAAAGATATGGGTGATTTTCACTAATAGGCTGCTTTCGTGCGACTGTTTAAGTTTTGACACCGTTTAGATAAGTTGTACAAAAATTGCTTGCTTTCTGCAAGTTCTGGAAGTTCTAATGGATGAACAAACTTGCATCAGGACTTGTGCAAAGCTTTTTAAAACTTATTTTTTGTTTGTTTAAGGCGAAATAGAAAAATTGGGGAAAGATATGAACTAATTTTAATTGTTGTATATTGCATACTTTTATATAAAACATCTGATATTTATAGTCAAATTTGAACTAATTTTTGAATTTCTTTGGGTCTTTTTTTTTCAACGCATTCCTTGGAGTCCAGATAGGTTTTTCCAGGAACAAATGTCAATACAGGGCAAATTAAGGCTAACGAAATATAACTGATTATGCACACATAGTTAGAAAACAACTTCGCTCCTCCATGTTATACATTTTATCGACTAAATATGAAATAATTGTAATTGCTCATTTATCTGAAAATCACAACCAAAGGCAAAATTTTAAGCTGACTATCAAAGAATCAAATATTACAATTTTAAATAGCAAAAAACTGAATCAAAAGAAAGAGCAACTACCATGATACAATGTTGCAATATTACAACTTAGTGTATATCTCTTAAAATCTATGTATGTATTGAATTTATAGTTTTAGTCTAACAACAATTCTAATTTATTGCATGCACTAAGCATGGGCTAAAGGTCACTAGTCATTTGTATACTTGTACTAATCAACCAATGGACTTCTATCTTATTTTTGATTTAGAACATGAAATATTGAAGCTTTGAAGAAGCTCATATCCTTGTAAAAAAACGAAGAAGCCCTGTCTAATGAACCATTATGATAGCTTAAGAAAAAAGAAAAGTAGACTTATAAAAAGGATATCTTTCCAAGGAGGACCAGATCAATCCCCTCCCTAAAAGCTAGTTGCCTTTTGAATTCATATAGCTAGGAAAAATATTTTGGATGTAAATAATGTCGTGCAATTTTATCTCTTGATGTGGTTTTTCTGCAGTACCTTCTTCGTACTCTACTAATGAAATATATGATTTATCTACTTTTCCAAAAAAAAATAATGTGGTGCAACTTCTTAGTTTTGTCGACTCTTTATCTTATACATAAGAACCAGTTTTTATAAGTTTGCATTTCTGGATGCCTTATCATTGAAACCATTACCTGCCCCCCCTCTCTCGCACAAAAAAAAAAATGTTGAGTAGAGTTCATCATAAAATAGAAGAGAAATAGTAGTTTTGGATAGTGTTTTTTTCCTTGCGGTGGACCAGAGAGCATGGGATATTCATACTGAGGTATTTTTAGAACAGCCTAATAAGGAGAGAGGGTGGTGACATTCCTCTCTCACTATGAATCTGAAGAGCACTTATGAAGTTGCACAAAAAGCTTCATCGGTTGTTCTCACTGATGAATCCTTTTAAAACAAATGATTTTCGAAATAAGTAGGAATGCATCTCTTTTTGCATGAGCAGCAGCATAGCGAGCCATTTAACAGTTGATAGTACAGGGAAAAAAGAAGGAAGTCGATGTCAGTGGTACTTCATCTTTAAAATGCATGAAAAGACATCAATCATCTGTTACTTCAGTTCCCCAGCTCCTGGAGGCATATCACTGTGTGAAACATGTTCGGACTTCATTTGATAATGCTGATGTGTAGAAGACGTGATGCAAGGTTGAAAATTAGAAGAGGCAGAGGAGTGGGTATAACATGAGAAGCAACTCGGGGGCTTATGAGGATCATTTGGAAGGAAAGACATAGGGGAGCTTCTGGAGAACTCGAACATTCTCTCCCACAAGCTGGTGGGACTTTTTTTTGTCTTTCTCTACACTTTAGGAGGACTTTATGTGCCAATTACTACAGACAACTATGAATAAAGATTTAGGCTTTCGATTATTAACAAGCTCTTCCCTTGCTGTTGAGACAATGATGCTAATATAGTAGAAAAAATATGATATGTTCAACCGTTGTCTCGATGTCAAGGAAACTTGGTCTTGAAGTGTATGAACTGTCTATCTAAAAGAATAAGTTATTAGAGCTATGTTGCTCGAATATGCTGCCGCACCCGTGTTGGATCCTCCAAAAAGCATTGGTTTCGGAGGATCCGACACACACTTGGCGGTATTTTTGAAGATTCTGAGCAGCTTAGCATTTTTGTTTGTTTTAGTTTGTCACCACGATCCCAGACGCGTGGTTTGGTTTTATTGGGTCAAACACGTGGAAATATTTTGCTGATCGATTGCAAAGGGACTCCAATTCACATCTTCTTTGCTCTAGTATCATGTTGATGTACATGAACCGTCTCATCTGAAAGCTTAAGTTGATACTTGATAGAGATAGAACACTTGTATTTTTATTATATGTCTACAACACTTAATAATTGTGATATATATTGTCAACAGAGTGGATAACGTGTTATACTGATCTATATATTTTGTTCAGTGTTTCTTGTTATCCACTGCAGTTTGGGTTGAAATCGTTTTGGTTAATATGCTGAGATCTTACACTTATTAGATCCCAAATAAAAACAGGCTTGTTTGTCTGACATTTAACTTTTCTTTTGTGGTGATTTCAGGATCTTGGCTAATTCCAAGCCCTGTCCGAAGTGCAAGCGGCCAATTGAAAAGAACCAAGGGTGTATGCACATGACTTGTACGCCACCATGTAAATTTGAGTTTTGCTGGTAAGACTTTGACACCTAGACCTATTCTGTACATTAGACTGCTCTTTCTTGAACTTCACTACCTACCTTGTACTCTTTTTGTGGGAGCGCAAAAGAAAAGAAACATATTTATCAACGAACATGTCTTGAGTTTCTACATGATGAAAAGTTTAGGGTGATTTTCGTCGAAAATTATTCTAGGGCATTCATTGGGCTTACTTTTTCAGGGATTTTCCTTGTTTGTTATACATGTTAAAGTAGATGATCACCGGATATACTCATTTTGAAATATGTGGTTACCCAAAGGTCCTTACTCGTGTATTATATCTCGTAGGTTATGTCTTGGTGCGTGGTCAGACCATGGTGAAAGGACTGGTGGATTTTATGCATGTAATCGCTATGAATCAGCAAAACAAGAGGGTGTGGTGAGTTGATTTTTCTGGTTTGTGCATAAATGGATTCTAGTTTATTATTTTACAACCTATTCTTTGAATTTGGGTTTGTTGTAATTGTTGATCCTGAACGTAATAGATGATGTCCTATATACTCATGTATACGTTGTTGCATATAGTATGATGAAGCCGAGAGGAGGAGAGAGATGGCCAAAAACTCTCTGGAGAGATACACGCATTACTACGAACGTTGGGCAACCAACCAATCGGTATGAATAACTCTGTTTGGCTAAAGATTTTCAGTTCTTGTTTATGTGTATAAAAAACGAAGGGTATTTCTCTAGTTGGTTTTATATGTTAGTACTTCCTTTTTCTCTAATCATCGATTTCACCCAATATCCATGGACATTTTTTAATTATTAGTCTTTGAGACTGACTGCTAAAGGAAACTGATAAAGAAGGGGGATATCTTTTTCCTAAATGTCCTTAATGTTGGCCTAAAGGTCTAGTTGGCTCCCCAATGTTCTAGGTTGGGTTGCAGGATACAAAAATGTAGTATGTGAGTCTGCTCCTATACTTTTGTGCCGCATCTTTTAGTCATTAGAACCTGTGAGAGGTGTTTGCCAACTGGATAGGTTTTTGCATCTCTATAGAATTGAAGCAGAAACCATGTTGACACAATGAAAAGGAAACAAGTGAATTTAACGAGTTGTAAAAATCGGAGCTTGACAGTCCACCATGGTCTATAGTGTTAATAACACCAAAATGAATTACAAATACTTGTACTATTCATTTGTAGGCACATCTGCGTTCTGTTTATGCATGTCAAGGGAGTTTGATTCTTGTTGATTTTAAGGTCTCACACCCATAGTAACAGTCGGTCTGCTAATCATCATTCGCCTGTTGAAGTTCTAAACCTCTAACCACCCATACAGATGTCCGTGTCTGGGGCTGTCTGGACCATGTCAAAGGGTTTGCTACCAGCTATGAGATACATTTTTCTTTGCCTAGACCAATTTTAATCCAATCACCTTTCCTTTGATTGTATCAAAACTCAGCTTAATCAAATTATCATGCCTTGTTTGCCGGAGATTTGCAGTTGGCCGAAACATCTCTCTATGAACATTTAAACCTGTCAGTGTTGGTTGAAGCTGCACCAATATTCTGTAGCCCTTTGTGCATGGGGAAGATCTGTTATGGAGTGTGAGAGGAGGATTAGGGTTACGTGGTATTTACCCTGTTTGCTGCTGCTTTCCAGTTCTCCTCTTTGTAGATACTGGAATTGAAATTCCCTATCTACAGTTTCCTTTTGGAATTATTGATGATTGATGCCTAGAATAGAAATGAGATTATCGGCTGATGCCATTGATTTTTATCTCTTGTGGGCGCTCTCTTCTTCTACTGTTTTCTGGAAACAGATTATACACTTCTTGAAAATGGTGACACATGCATTGATTTGTGAAATTGAAAGTTCCTCTTGATGTTGTATACTTCTCGATAATGGTGAAACTTACATTAATTTGTGAATTGGAGTTTACGTTCACTTTTTTGTAAACCTAATATTCCTTGTTTTCCTAATGGCAGTCGAGGCAAAAAGCAATGGCAGATCTGCATCAAATGCAAACTGTTCATGTAAGTAATGATATCTGCCACATCCAACAGTTATTCTTGCTACGATGGTGTACTTTTTTCGCTTATGTGAAGATACTTGAAACTGGGGTGCAGTCGTAAATTTGATCTAGAATCTATCAAGTGTGGCTGTTGTTTGATTTGATCTTGGTTTGCTGTAGGATCAGTGTGCATTACTAATGTACTACTTGGTTTTGATTTATTTTTGATACCTGGTTGTGATTTAGCTCCACTTACTATACACAGGCTAATGAAATGACATCGTAAGAGTCTCAATGCTGAATAATTTGTTTGCTGGAAAAGAGTCTTTTTTTCTCTGCTCTAGTTTATCTCTCAAGGCATAACATTTGTTTTTCGTTGTGATGTCTATTCAAATATGTGTTTAATGTTAGCTTTTGGTTTATCTCTGCAGCTTGAAAAGCTTAGTGAAATACAGTGCCAACCCGAGTCACAGTTGAAGTTCATTTTAGAATCCTGTCAACAGGTGAACACTGCAATCTTCTTCTTCTTCTTCTTCTTCACATTTACATAAGTTATTCAAAATTGCATTCCTCTGAACAATAAGAATTTATAATATGACTTCCCTGGGAATCATTTCATGGTTGGCCTTATCCACATTGGCTTTTCACCCTCGATGTGGTACATGTGCCTGTATGTAGGGAATCATCAGCCTCATCCCATTCCCTGTTTTGAATTGGAATCATCAGCCTCATCCCATTCCCTGTTTTGAATTGGTTGTACTACACTGGCCTCCTTATCCATGATAATGGATGAGGGCGAGGGGAATTGTCTTTCAAAGATAATTCCTGGCACCATACATCCGGGGTTGGGGATTCGTCTTTCAAGGTTAAGTTTCTGCATCACATCAAATGAAATTTGGATCTGGTCCCTTTTGAGTAATACTTTCTTTCTGTCATATTCCTTTCCATATGCTCCTCTCATGAGGTTGCAAATTCAGATGAAAGACATGGAAATAGTTTCTATTTATAGACGGTTTTTGCAAGAATAATTTTCATCCATAGGGCTTCCCATTCGTATGCAATTCTCTACAGCTGTTTCCCGATAAAAGGGTTTGGTTGAAAATGAGTAATATGTGAATGCCTAAACCTACTCATTGGGATACCTAAACTTTTTGATATTGGCAAGCTCATAGTTTTATTTATAGGATATTTTAAGTTGGACATTATCATTCGGTAATCAGTAGTTGATGCTTTAGTTATTCTGAACTTTGGAATTGTTCTTTTATCGGGGCTTGTAATATGGAGCAATTGATGTTTCCCTTTATAAATTGCAGATAGTTGAATGTAGGAGAGTGTTAAAATGGACTTATGCATATGGATACTACCTACCCGAACAGGAGCATGCAAAAAGGCAGTTTTTTGAGTACTTACAAGGTATTTAAAGATTTGATCATCTGTTTTGCTTGTTCTTGATCATCTACAGTGAACTTGTCTCATGCTTCTGTTTCTTTCTTGTATGCGACAATCTGTACAGGTGAGGCAGAGGCTGGTTTAGAGAGGCTTCATCAATGTGCTGAAAAGGAACTCCAAACTTACCTTAATGCTACAGGACCGTCCAAGGATTTCAATGATTTTCGTACGAAGCTCGCTGGTCTAACAAGGTAATTTATCTGACAGATTTGCCTAGAAGCATTAAATATGGAGATTTCTTCAGCTAAGAGATACTCTGCTGAATTAATTCATGAGTTCTCGTTTAATAGTTTTACTTAAATGTGATTGTTATCGAAGATAGCATAGTCCAGGTATATGATTCAGCTTTTGAGAAGTGGAAGTGTTTTCCCTCGTGGTTATTAAATTTACTTGTGCACTTGCAGTCCCTAGGCTGCAGAGCAAATAGGTAGGAGGTTTAGGCTGGTCCAATGATGGTTGATAGTCTTGGTGGGTTGTGATGGGTCATGAGTGGCGGTGCTTCGATTTGCTTTTGGGAGAATTATTGTTTGCGAGTAATTTCTTGATCAGCCTAGATTCATTCAGACTTGGGAAGCATTTGATAGCTACATTGCATAAGGGAGAATTACAATCTTGCCCGAATTGGTTAAATACCGTTTATCATCTCATGTTTGCTAAATGATTTTAAGGTTGAGATGTCTCATTGCTAGTTTGATCCTGCGTTTTATTTGCAATTGGATCACAGTTGGGGCAAGATGAATCTCTAGGCTGGAGGCGGAGAACTAAATGAGCAGATAGATGAGGATGTTAGAGGAGAGAACAAATTAGGGGTTAGAGTGGTGGAATGGCTTGTGCATACAAGATCTAACCATTTATGCTTTCTCAGGCTAACTCTTGCCTTTACATAAATGATCGGATATATTATTACTCTGAAGTTCTTGTTAAGCAATTATGCCATATGCTCAGATAATCTCCTTCAGATGTTACCATTTTAACGCATGTGTAACAGTATTGTCAAAGGTGCATGTGGCACACCTAAGTCCTCAAGCTAGATGCAAAAGTAGGCTGAGTGCTTTGCCTCACTTAGTGTAGCGCTTTAGTTCAAGTTCAAGCATCTAATCACTAAAGTGTGTTTCTCTTCACCCATGAGCACATTTTTGAATAGGGCATCGCTAAACGATAACTATTTCATTTAATTGAAAAATTTAACTCTTTTCTTTATATAATTCTTCATGTTAAGAATTATTGATCTCGAGTTATGCATAAAATTATTATTCTTTTTTTGTTTGCGATTTCTTTCATTAAAACATCGCTTTAATTTTAAACCCTAAATAGACCTGAAAACCCCTTTTTCTCTTTTTACCTCCGATAACACTACTGTGTAACGAACTTATTTGATGTGGTCCCCCCTCTCCTGTGGAAGTCTGCCTCTCGAACATGTGGAAGAGATAGATGATTTTGTGCATGATAGTTCGTATTGATATATTAACATTTTAATGACCAGCTGTTTTTATGTAATTGCAACAGTGTTACCCGAAATTACTTTGAGAATCTGGTTAGAGCACTGGAGAATGGTCTTGCAGATGTGGATTCCCAAGGTGCTTGTAGTAAGGCAGCCAGCTCAAAGAACGTAGCTGGGAGCAGCAAGGCCAAAGGAGGTGGTAGGGGTAAGAGCTCCACTCGGACATGAGACTCAAGCGAATACTTGGATGACTATATACTTGGATGTTCAGATGGGATATGTTAAAAACGGATACTCACAAGAGTCAAACGAGGGGTTGATGATTCTCTAATTGAAGCCAATTGTCAGAGAATAGCATAGAGGTAAAAAAGATCCCCTGAAAATGAAGTTTGCTCTTGTGCATCTTCAAGGGGAAACTAATGGTTTTGTTTGTAAATAGTCTGTGATAGTTAGGTGCAGGACTATCAACTCATCTCTTTCAGGGGAAGTGGGCAGTGGCTACAAACATAACTGTGCTGTTGTTCTTTCTGGTGACTTGTGTATAAGGGTTCCTTGTGTGTATATAATGATATGTGCTGCTTATATATTGTTATTGGAATGCAGATAATCCTTTCACTATTTGAGTAGCATGTCAGTATTTTTAACTGATCTCAGGTCTGTTCATATAACCCGAAAATGTTTTCGGAGAATGACTTGTTTTTTGCCTCTGAAAATATCACACTTAAACTTTTTTCACTATTATAGTAAAGTGATTATAATAGTAAAGTGACGAAGCTTTATCTACTATAGCAATAAAGTCAATTCTACTCATTAAGGTGATCTTATTGTTATAATGATTTAAAAGTTTTGTGACTGTACTGTTATACTGTATGGAGTTTGGTTTACTTTGATTTCACAGAAGGTAGTTTTATGTCTTTAAATGTTATAGTAGGTAAAATCTAGGTATTTTAATGTCACAACAAATAGTTTTCTGACTAGTTGTTTGTGGTAAAGTTCGGTTACCAATTTGAAATTAATCTACACAAACTGAATTCCTTTTTGTAGAAGCAAAACTTTTCTCGATTTCCTAAGAGTGAATTTCGGTTTAAAATAGAAGCTAAAAGATGAGTATAAAAGCTTCTTAGATCTATCTTCTACTTAATAGCAGAAAGATCAGTCATCCCCGAAATATCTTTTGTCATAGAATACTAGCCTTAAAAAAAACAGAGTTTAAAACAAGCCATATGTATACTTGATTAATCAAAGAAGTGGAACAAAACCCTGTATATTTCTTTTCATTTCTTAATCTTCTTCTCAGGTTGATGAGTTTAATTAGCTAGGGAAATGATATAAGAAAAACTCAAGAATGGAAGAGTTAATTTTTCAATTGCATGGATTTGTCTTTGAAAAGTCTCATGCTGAGTGCATTTAGCATTGCTTTTGAGTATTGGCGTGAACCCATCTTCCAATCCATTCCTGTTGACATCATGACCTTGAAATCTTGGTAACTTATCCTTCCATCCTGTGTGTATATATATATATATATATATATATATTATCAAAATGAAGCAACCCGATAAACAAAATAGAATAGAATTTAACTTCTATACACTGACAACATGAGACGTATTAAGGTTAATTACCTTATCCAAATCAGCATCAGATATGATGTCGAGGATCGCTTGATCATTCTTGGGGCCAAGATGATCATCAAACAAAGAAGCTTTCAAGTCTTCAAACTCAATATATCCACTTCGATTCTTGTCAAATTGAAGGAAAGCTTGGCGGAGATGATCGTCGTTGCTTAACCTCTGTAAGTGCACAGCCATTGTCACAAATTCTTCACAGTTTAGCATCCCATTTCCATCTACATCAGCCTTTTCCATAATAACCAAAAAAAAATTCTGAATTAAAAGGTATATATATATATATATATATATATATATATATATATATATGTTATATCAACATATATAGAGTACTTAAATAGTACTAACAGAGTAAATATAAAAGAAAGCATTATTTATAAGCTTACAGCATCCATTAGCAATTGGACTTCAGGATCAGCAACAGATTGCCCCATCATATGTAGACCATCTTTGAGTTCTTGGAAACTTAGGTTTCCATTTTTGTCACTGTCCATCATATAGAACATTTGTTTAATTCCGTGAACTTGATCTTGTGGTAAGTTATCTGCTACAACCTGTAAATACAGTTATGCGTGAAATATATCAAATTTCACGTTACACTTGTTGTACGTCCAAGAAAGAAAAATAAAAAGAGAAACAAGAACACCAATGAATGACGAGGAATGTTTAATTAAGTACTTACTCTGAGAACTTTTTTCTTGAATTTATTCATCAAAGTGAATTGCTTAATCCTCGCTCTCACCCCTTCTCCCAAACATACGTTAGAGACCTTCTCAGCATTCTGTATCCAGTGATGTTCTTTAAACATCAACAATTGATCAATTAGTTTGAATATTTACATTATCAGATTACCTAAAAGATAACTAATCATCGATAAAAATGTGGAATTACTAACTTGAAAATAAGAAAGATTATTTGCTATGTAACGTATTACAATACACAGGTCTAATAAATTGATATTGTTATAGAAATACTTACCAAGGACTTCTTCAACTGTCAACCTGTTATAAGGATTTGGATCAAGCATTCCTTTGACAAGGTCCTTAGCTTCATCTGATACTCTTGGCCAAGGATCTCTATTAAAATCTATTGTACCCTTTACTATTGCGTGTGCAATTCCTTCTTCGGTTTCTGTGCTAATCACAACCAAGTAACACCATATTTAAGCAAAAACAATTAGACTATTCACAAAGTCTATAAAACGTCACAGAACTACTATTCAATAGAGATTTCCCATTGGAAAGAAACATACAATAAAATATGAGATTGGTGAACTAATTAAGTCCAAATGGTGAATTACCTGCCCAAAAAGGGGGAACTCCACATAACAAAATGTAAAGAATAACACCGGCACTCCACACATCAACTTCTGGTCCATAATTCCTTCTAAGAACTTCTGGAGCCATGTAATATGGACTTCCAACTATTTCACCAAATCTCTGAGCTAAAAGATAATATTATAATGTTCACTAAGATAAGATGCCAAAGCAATTCTCAAGATAATTATTAATTACGACAAATTCAAACACTATAATTTTGGATATGAACTCTTAAAAAGACTTACTAGGCTCAAAGAAAATAGAAAGGCCAAAGTCAATGGCCTTCAACTGAGCATTTTCACTTGTATTGGCATATAAAAAATTCTCAGGTTTAAGATCTCTATGAATTACGCCATGCTTGTGGCATACCTATCACGAATCATAAAAGATTTTGTTTAGCAATTGCAAATTATTGAGCATATAGTTAAGTGCATAAAATTGAAAGAAGTTATGTAAACAAATAGGTGGTCAGATTCACTGTTTACTTTTCCTAGCTAGTATTAAAATTGTTTATATATTAATTATACATGGTTATACACATAATATACATGAAATATACATATATTATGCATCTACCATCTACTTTTAGCTAGTTTAGGGATCTTACACAAATAGCCGATCATATTCATTGTTTATTTTTTTTAGCCAATATACATAGATTATACATCTATTACACATTCGTCGGTTATTTTTAGTTTAAGCGGTTGGGTGGTCGACTATTTTAAGTTAATGTGTTTTTATAAGATGTTGGGTAGGGTGGCTATTTAGGTTAATTCTTCAAAAACAGGCAAATGGAGAAGAGAATACTTAATAATTACCTGGACAACCTCAAGAATAGTCTTGGTAACACGAGCAGCAGCTCTTTCAGTATAATGTCCTCTTGCAACAATTCTATCAAAGAGTTCACCACCTTCACAAAGTTCCATAACAAGATAAACAGCCTCTTTATCTTCATAAACTTCCTTATAGCTAACAATATTAGGGTGTTTAGGCAAATGCCTCATTATTACCACCTCCCTCCTCACATCCTCCACATCTATCTCTGTCCTTAACTTGCTCTTTGCTATTGTCTTACATGCCACATTCTCTCCACTTTCCTTGTCTACACATTGGTATGTTATTCCAAACTCTCCTCTTCCTAACTCCTTCCCAAACTCGTACCTGTTAGAAGAAATAGAATCACATAAATTAAGACGTAAGCATTTGACGTATTGTTTGTGAAAATACATACAAGTCCTTCAACATGCCAGAAAGTCGTTGTATACCGCAAACCAACTTAGACATGACTTCTCTCATGAATGAAAGAAAACTATTCAGAATAATCATCTTATTCCACGAACAAACATGTTATCAGGTTTTACATAAAAACGAAAAATATCAAGTCTCTTAATCCAAGTTTATATATATTACAATTTACAAACTATATATCTAACGATACCTCTTGTAAATGTCATCTCCAGATGGATCCTTAACGACATTTATAGGACGAGAGAATTTCTGGGATTTAGGAACGGATGTGCGGCTGGAATTCTTGGAACAAGTTTCTTGATCAATAGGAGTAGGCCTCATTTTTGTTCTTTTCAAGAAACTTGCATTTTGTACAGACATGCATGTCCCCATTTTTTGGGATGTTAGATTATATTTTTGTTTTCTTATAATGTAGCTTATAAGGTTAGCTTGAATTAACGTAACATCCCAAGGGAACAAAAGATCAAAAGAATTAAATGCAGTGAAGGAAAACAATGAGAGAGAGGAAGGAAGAGGGAGAGAAAGGAAACCCCAATTTTAGGGGAAGGGAGTTGATCAAGTCTTAAGCCAGGGGTATTATGTTGTTTTCTTGCTTTCCCCGGTTTTGTCTCAGTCCCTTTGACCATTTTCCTCTTGTGGCATATAAATGCAGAAAAATTTACAAATTCAGAGGAAGTATGCTATTTATTTTTTATTTGTTGTGTTAGAGAACTAATATATAGTTTCCCATCTAGAAGATTAGCATGCATTTAGTTACTTACTCGTTATCCATAACAATGTTATAATTTTCTTAATTTTCTTGATATCTTATACTATTTAAGACAATCGAAGTTTCAATGATATGGAATAATTAATATAAGATACGAGGAATCAACTAAGTGAGCTTATATACCCTATTAGATCTTTCAATTCCACTAGATCTTTCGATACATAAGTAATCTCACAGCAATGTTTTTGCATTTTGATTGGACGTCGAGTTATTTTCTATAATTCAAAAGCTAGAAAATGAAAAGATGCCAAATTCATCACATTTCACAAAGTTGCACCATTAATAATTAAGACTTTAAAATTGTTACGGAGTAAAAATTCAAAGTAAGAAGCCAAAAATTACAAAGAAGGTAGTAAATGTTAGACTATTCTGATTAAATTTTAGAGAAGATCTTATTCAGATTCATTGGTTACACGATCATACATATCATGTACTTATTGAATTAGTATATCTTAGTAGCTCTGGCTGCCACTTTCTTTCTTTTAGAAAGAAGCCAAACCAACCACACCAATAACTTCAAAAGTTACTTTCAGGAAAAAACAAAAAAAAACAAAAAGAAAGTTATTTTCAGGATTTGTCTGTACAAATTGAAACATTAGGGGGTTTATTGACTCTCTTATGGAAATTAGGGAGTTCTCTGTAAATCACATCTCTTCCAAAACCCCATTTCACAAAAATTATACACTAGCAATTTCCTGTTTGGTGCTGTCTCGGGAGACTCGAATCATCATTTTCTTCTTCTGCGTTTGCTCTCTACCTCTGTCTTGATTCGTGAAAGAATGGCGTTTTTGCTCAACAAAACAGTCTTGTCTAAGCTCCGACTCAATCCTCAGGTTTTTCTTACTTTTCATTTGATTTTTTCTCTTTTTGCATTTTATTAATGGGTATACCAAATGTTTGATGATTTGTTTCTATGAAATCTCTCTTTTAATCGTACTGTAGAAAACTGATGAAACTTTGATGCAATCACGACGTGGAATCCATATCGAACCCGGGGCTCGCGAGAAGGCTGTGAGTACTTGCACTTTACCCCCTTTTATGTTTCTCGAATTCTTTCAAAGATCCGATTCTGCATTAAATTTAGATTTGAATCTTTACTTGGGATGGCTCAGATAAGGGAAATTTTTGTTTTTAGTGAGCTTTTGGTGTACCCCTGAGATTTCTTTTAGCTATTGAGTGATTATAACTTAATCAAAAAGAAAAAAAACCTATTAGCTCGAGGTTGCCAGTGGAAGAAGCTGGATGTCAACTTCTACGTGCATCGTTTACTAACTGGGCATGATGCTATTGAATTTCAAATTTGTTACTATCATTTTTAAGATAAAAGTACTGTTTGTCTATTTTATCGAGGGAACACACACAAGTGATTCTTTACTTGTAGAATTTTGCTCAATTACATCATCTTTAAAGAATACTTTTCTGGATTCAACAGTTACTAAAATTTTGAGTTTGGGAAAATGAAGATGTATCTCTTTCAAGTGTGACACTGTAAATGTGGGTGTTAAGCTTCTCTGCATCAATGTTGTCAAAGGCTCATTTAAGGCGCGCTTAAGCTCTGAAGCTCAGAAAAGCTTAGGGAGGGCGCTTCACCTTGCTTAAGTTACGCTTCAATGTAGGCAAAGCACTAAGGTGTACGCCTCATTGCCCATGAGTTCTATCTTGAATCGAGCAATGCTAAATGACAAATATTATCAGCAAATAAGTATATTAGTTGTTGACAAAGACATTAGGAATGGGTTTGTTTCTTTTTTCTTGAATTACATATGTATTTTTTTTTCTTCCCTTAGTTGCGCCCTTTTTAAACTAAAGCCCGCACTTTACTTGCGCTTTGCGCTTAAAGCCCCAATCGAACTGGAGCGCTTTTTAGAGCTTTTCGCTTTTGACAACACTGCTCCGCACGATTAAGGAGGGAGCAACTCCTTTTATGTAATATTGCTCTGATGTTGGTGTATTGGGAGATGTGTAGGAATAGGCCCTTTGTTCCATATATCTTCCAAATACCTTAAAGCTAGATAAACTAATAGAAAGTCAATGTATTTTCATGAAGTAGTTTAGTTACGTGATCCATATTGTGCATTGTTTCAGAAGAGAGCATCTTCTTTTAAAGAGCTTTAGCTCTCCAAAGGCTTAGGGCTGGTCCTGTATATAGTTGAGTGGCATATGATGTTGTTTGCCTCATTCGATGATACTGTACAGTCAAAATTATAAACGGGCTCATTGATAATTAACCTCTGGAAATGCTTCAAGAAGTTGCATTGTGAGGTTTCTTTCTTTCTTCTTTTTTCCAATAAGTGCCTTCTCAAATGATACAAAGTGGGCTTTCGGTTAATCAAATGTTCATTTCGTACCTTTATTTAAACAAATTAACAAAATTAGAACATCTGATGCAGCTTTTGGAAAAGTGAAGATATGTGACTTTTGATTGATTGATTAAGTCGGAAACCATGTTAATCGTGTTATTGACACTTGTCTTTACATATGGACTTCCACTTTCACAAGTATCGATATCGGTCTAACTTCAAATTAGTTTTGCTTCATTGGTTATATGGTTATATACTTCAACCTGGAGAAATGTGTACCAAATAGGGTTGTGTAGGTCGCAAGAGTCTTTATCAGGTGCTTTTCTTTTTTGCTTTGACATGAGATGGTGGTTTTCCACTGGTAGCGATGAGAAAAATACTGTTACATCTTTCTCTGTCTAATAGTAAGCTAAACAATGACAAAATTTGTGGAAAATGACTTTACACAGAATGCCTTCCATGTTACAGCATGTTCAAGAAGTACCAAAGGTATTTCCTGTTGCTTGGGCTTTTTTGATAAATAAACTCTTCTTGGGACATCTATATTTTATCTAACTCGAGTATGTGTTGCTTGGGATGCGTTTATTTGTCAATCCAATTTTGTTCCCAATATATATGATTATATGTGTGCTTGAATGAGCATGAGTTTTGATGTTTCTTTGTGCATGCTTCTTAATTGTTAAATTATTACATTTCCCTTGGCAAAATGTTTGTCAGCTATTAATTCCATAAATTGGATTCCCTTTTGTACTTACTCAATTGTTTCCATAACTTATTCTAGTATTTTTTTCATCTTCTTTATCCTTGTCAAATTTTTATGTTATTGGCAGCTCTTGGCAGCGGATCCCTCCTTGAAACGCTTTAAGTCGCATAAACAGAGTGTGCGGAACCTTAAAAGGGTGGGAGATGTTCTAACTATTGTTGTTGTAGCAGGTTTGCTAATCTCTTCACCATATACTGGATTTGCTTTATTTATTTTTCTGTTGAATGTAGATATAAGTATCCTAAGGGAGTGAGGATATGCAATCTGGAATTGCGAAGTAATTACTTTATCAAGTCAGTTGACTATGTTTCTTTTCAATAAGATTGTGAATCTCCCCCTACATTTCTAATGAAATAAGGTTTCTTTATGCCCCTCGTTTTCTCCAACTTATAGATATTGAAATAAGAACAATCAGAAGAGTCCCCACAGTACCTTCTTAGTGCTTCTTGCTTATCAATAAAAATCTTACCTTATAAAAAATAATCTTAAGACTCATTTGGCAAACACCGTGGTTCTTGCTTATTATTGATTCGTGGCTTTTAATAGGTGTCAGAGTCTCCAAATAATTTTGATCAGTGTAGTAACAGCCTGTTACTACTGGTGTTACTACTCTGCATTCGTATTTAGTTTGCAACGACAATCAGATTCCAATATTAATTTCATTGGTTTCTCATTCATTTTCTTCAAAGCCAAGGAAAATATTTTAAAACCTTCTTTTATTATCTATTTACCCCCAAAAAAGAAAAGAAAAAAATTTAAAGCCTTCTGTTATGTTGAGTTGCATCCAGATCTTGTTCAGAGGCTGTATAGTCAGTGCAATATATGCTATCAGCCTCCTTTTGCTGCTTGTTAGGCTACATGATCTCTATGGCTACATGATCTCTATGCTGCTCTTAATATAATTTGCAACAATCAATTTCCAGCCTTCATAAGCATTGGCTTCTCATTCATTATCCGAAGCTGTTTAAAGATTTTAAGAAGCTTCTGCTCTGTTTATTTATATCCAGCTGCTGTTATTCAGATGCCATCAGTTACGTTCCTTACAGCATCTTTTTACTGCTTATTGTGCTGCTGTTTTTGCACTAACTCTGAAATCCTGCAAAAGCAGTTCTACTTGCTTTTCTACTGAATAGCATCTTTGGAGCTAGGTAACTCCTGGATCTGAGGGGAGGTCTTGTGATCCTTATACCCTGCTGGATATTTTGCGTGCAATTTACAATTGATATGAATCTTTTTGTAAAATTTCACCATTTTCGTCCGATTGTCTAATACTTTTGAAACCATCATTCTGATCTATCTAACTTATATTTACAGGATGTTGTTATGAGATATATGTGAGAGCTGTTATGCGGGAAGAAGCAAGGAAGAATGCAGAAGGAAGCGCATAATGGCAGATCATTCTGTTTTTACATATTTTCACTGCCTTTATTCTTCGAAACATGGGGAAAATGGGATAATGAAGGATGGGTATCACTAAGTACATGAAACTCGTGTTTTAACTTTTGTTTAGGTTGGTGGTATGAAAATAAGGTGGTTCCAAACAGTTGAGATTGCATCTCAACGCCAAGAACTTTGCATGCAAATTTTGGTTTTATTTGAACTTTATGTTTGAATGCTCTAAAATGCATGTGATGCCTGGTGAGCTGGTGAGATTTTCTCACCTTCAATTATATGGTGCTTTCACTTCTACTTAATGTGACTAACACAAAAGATGGACCTTCAGATCTTGGAAGTAATTTTGGTGTTTGTGTGCACTAATGCAAACTGCCTCATGTATA